TCCGGACTCGTCTCCAGCTCGTCTTCCCCCCTAGCTGACCTGCAGTTCTTTCCGTCCTCTGCAGACCCCTCGCTCTTCGTTCGTGCTGGCCAGACCCCGTTCTACATCCTTGTTTACGTAGACGACCTGGTCTTTGCTACTGCAGGCAAGGACGCGCTGGCCTCCGTGAAAGCCGAGCTGCTGAAGAGACACACCTGCACTGACCTAGGAGAACTGCGCCATTTCCTTGGCTTGCAGATCTCCAGGGACAGAGCAGCGTGCACCATCACTCTCACACAGTCACACTTGGTGCGCCAGGTCCTTCAGCGGTTTGTTCTTCCGTTCTCTTCCGCACAGCCCACACCTCTGCCAGTAGACCACAAACTCTCAGCTCCTATTCCTAAGGAGTGAGTAGAGCCCTGTGGTCCTTACGCAGAGCTGGTGGGTTGCCTCATGTACGTGATGACTTGCACTCACCCAGATCTCGCATCCCCCCTCAGTATCCTGGCTCGCTTTGGCAGACACCGACCACAGCACTGGTCGGCCGCTAAGAGGGTTTTGCATTATTTTGCGAGTACATCGGGAATGGGGCTAGTGCTGGGAGGACGCAGGCCAGTGGCCCTCCTATGTCAGGAGCCTCGACTTGAGGGCAGATCGAAGCACATCCAGCTGCGATACTTCCTCCTACGCGAGCTACAACAGCGCCTCCAGGCTCGCATAGTACACTTGGCCTCCGGTGCCAATACAACTGATATCTTTACGAAGGCACTTGCGCCTAAAGATCATCAGCGGCACTGTGTACAGCTTGGTCTTGTTCCTGTAGCCTCTCATTTGCTAGGGCCTTGATTGTGTACAGACCTTTATATATATTATCCTGACTGGCGTTGTGGCCTCTCCCAGTGGCTAGACTAGTAGTGCCGCCCTGGTCTTGCTCTTGCCTCGGTCTGTACCCGTTTTACTGGTCTTTTGACCCTTGCCTCCGAGGCTGGACTAGTAGTGCGGCCCTGAGCTGCTTGTTCTCTCGTCAGGCACTGCCCCTATATAGTCTAGGGGGTGTGTGAAACATAACTTAGTATGTTATTGTAGACTGTCAAGGTTTGTGCCTCAGAGGGTACAACCCGCTTGCCTACATTCCCTTGTACTCACTCATTCTAGTTATTCTAGCATTCTAACATGGTATCATGAGTAGGTTAGGTCCCATTCGCCCACCAGCGCTTCCGCCCTAGGTCCTAGCCGCCCGTTCCCCCTAGCCGGCCCATTCCCCTAGCTGGCCCGTTCCCCTAGCCGGCGCGCCCGTCCCGTAGCCGGCCCCGCACCCGTCCCGTAGCCGGCCCGCGCCCGTACCGTAGCCGGCCCGCGCCTGTCTCGTAGCTGGCCCCCCCACCTGTCCCATAACTTAGTATGTTATTGTAGACGGTATAGGTTTGTGCCTTAGAGGGTACAACCCGCTAGCCTATATTCCCTTGTACTCACTCATTCTATTGATTCTAGCATTTTAACAGTCAGTACTCCTCGGAACTACTCCGTGCCTGAGCCCCACGTTTTCTGTTGTGAGATCCTTGGTCATGCCGAAAACTCCAAGATCACGTTTTCGAACAGTATCCAAAGTCCCGTCTTCACCTGCGTGTTGCCTGCTGGAAGCGCCGAGCCCTTTGACGTCAGCTACACTTCACTATATAGCCACGTCTGCTACACGCGCTCCTAACGAAATCCTCTTTGCCTGGGGATATCCGCAAGCTTGTCGTTTTGTGACGAGCTCCTCGCTCATTTCGGACACCAATCTAAATCGTCGTTGCTGCTTGCCAAAAATTCCGAAACTCCTATAACGATATGTGAAATGACCAGCATACCGAAAACACTCTTCAAAATCTTTGCCATGTCAAGACCGACACAACCGCCCTCGAGGGGCTGGCCGAGCAAATCCTGCTCGTCCCTTGGGGTCAGATCGACGGTCTTCAGAAGCCCACGCAAACGCAGTAGTTGAAGCACATCATATCATGCTTCAGGACAACGGCTGTGCCTTCTGTGGCACCATCTGCCTTCTCCCCCCCCCAAACAAAAATCTTCTGCCCTCGGAAGCCCAGCGGGTGAGAAAAGTGGCTCTAAATACCAAGTGTTATGAATGGGATTGCCGAGTAGCGCGGAGGGAAGTGGCGAAACCGTGAGCAAGTGAATGACAATAAAATGAAAGACAAATACAATACCGTAATCCCCCGTATATAACACCCTATGGTGGATATAATAATTCACTAAAAAAATGTGTGGGTGTTAACAGTGGCTCGGAAAAATATAGAGCCCATGTGCTATGTAAAATGCAATATGAATTTGAGTTTTTTAAGGCTTACACAGCTACCGGTTCTTGTTCAAACAATGATGGGGATATAAATGCAGTTGCATACGTGTCAAATTCGACATCAGCACGACCACTTGTGGCCAATCCCTAGCGGCCGTGCCTGCCAACAGCGGTAAAAATGCAGCCACAGGTTGCCAGCGCAGGGTAAGAACGGCTAGGTGCGGTGGATGCTGCTAACGCAGCAGACGTGAGGGAATATGCCCTTCCAACATGGCATATCGAACCTTCTTATCGCATGCCAGCATGCGATGGTGTTTCCGGTTTGCCAAAGACAGTGAGCGCTCTAGGCAGGGGTTCCAACCACGTTTCTTGTTCATCCCTATCTTGTCGCAGCGTTTGTTTTCAGTTCTGCTTTTGTTTCTCGACACAAAGCCCCTCACAATGCCCGGGCTCTCTAACAGAGCCTCGGGCAGTGGTCCCTCGACTAGCAATCTCCCTTTCAGGTGCTGCCATGGCAGCGCGTACGTAATTCGCGAGTGGAAGAAAAACAAGGCAAAGCTAGTGGCTGCTGCTGGCTGCAGGCGTCGTCTCGTCGGCTCAGTGCGCAAGGCCAAGTTCCCCGGCATGGAGCGCGAGCTGTACAAGCGCTTCCTCTCCCATCGCGCGTGGCCTGGCAGTCTCCATCAACTGCCTGCAGAAGTGGAGTCGAAAGTACATGAAGAAGCGGCACCCTGGAGTCGACTGGCGAGCATCGTCGCGATGGACCTTCCGCTTCCGCACGCGCTGGGGTTTGACGAGGCGTGTGAAAACCAAGATGGGACAATGCCTCACAACCGATTAGTTTCAATTGCTCCGAGTGTTTCCACACCGTCTTTCCTCACGAATTCGACTTGTACTCTTGCGTTGCATGCTTATTGTGCTTGGTTTTTTTGTGCTTGCAGATTGCGAGGCAAAAGTGGAGAAGTTTTGGGAGTTTAGGCATCAGATGCGGAAACTGAACTGCTACCCCGACGAGTTGATAATCAACGCCGACCAAACACCTCTGTTTCTGGAGATGCCGCAAGAGACAACGCTAGAGGTCCGCGGCTCAAGGACAGTGCACGTGCGCACTGCTGGCTATAAGAAAGAACGGCTGACCGTCATGCTGGTGGTCACTGCTGCTGGACAGAAGCTGAAGCTGTATGTCATATTCAAGCGAAAGACCGTGCCCAATATCAGAGTCCTCCCTGGTGAGTTCAAATCTTGTTGTTTGATTCATTCTGTTTATCTTAATCCCCATCCCATGCCATGTTTTTCTCTTCCTATTGACCCCGCCTGATATGCTTGTGTCTTGGCTTGTGTCAAGGCATCGTCATCCGTGCGCAGCCGAAAGGATGGATGGACAAGGAGCACGTGAAGGACTGGATCACATCAGTGCTCGTCCCGCTCCTTCAGCAAATCCCTGCGAGGCGTGGCGGTCGGGCGAAAGCCCTCGTCGTCCTCGACAGCTACAAAGGGCACCTGACCAAGGGCGTGTCAGCGGCGATGCACCTCTTCAAGCTCTCCAGGGCCGTGATTCCTGGCGGCTGCATGCCGGTCGTCCAGCCACTCGACGTGGCTATCAACCGCTGTGTGAAGGCGCATGTGAGGTGGTCCTACACAGGTTGGTTTGAAGAGTGTGGCTGTGATTCGACAACACCCACAGGTGAGTGTGGCTCTGTGCCTGCGTTCCGCGCTGTTTTCCTTACGTGTGCTCCGTCGTACACTTCCCGTCTATTCGGACGCTTGCTCTTTTCATCGATAAAGTTTTTTCGACTCTTAAAGACTGCCTTTTCTACCGCCTTATCTCTCTGTGCCCCTGCCAGGAAACCTCAAGAAGCCCCCCGCGGAGGTGGTGCTATAGTGGATCGCAGCCGCGTGGGAGGCCGTCCCTACCGAGCTCATCCGAAACGCCGTCAAAACCTGCGGCATCTCCACCGACATTAATGGGACGGAGGATGAACTCATCCTCACCCATATGAAGGACAAGGCAGATGTGGAAGTGATGGATGACGTGCACGTGGAAATGGAGGAGAGCGGCGAGAAGAACCCGCTCTACGGAGCTGACTTCGTCGAGCCCGCCGCAGACGAGCTGTCTAAGGATGAAAACGACGACGAGAACGACGTGCCGCAAGCTGCATCGATGGCATCCGGCTCGGCCGAGGTAGCAGAGTCCTCCGCTATGGCAGAGGCGCGTCTGACGGCAGCAGCAGCAGCTACTGCAGCAACAGCGACGGCTGCGACAGCAGCAGCAACAGCAGCAACGTCGGCAGCAGAAGCATCTGCGACCAGTGATGACGACTCTATCGAGATGGCACCAGCGGCAGAGGTGCTTGCTAGGCTGGCGGCCTCCAACTGGGCAGACGACTATGACTGGGACGACATAGCGTCCGATGATGACGACGTGGAGGCGCGGCACGTTGGCGACGAGGACGACGAAGAGGATGAGGAGTATTAGACTGATTTCTGACTGGGCTCGAGCCCCTCTAGACGTTGCAGTAGTCTTTAGATGCAGCTTCAGTAGCTAACTCTTGACTAGAATTTGAGGCCTACAAATGCAGCCGTGCTAGAATCTTCCATGATGTACTTAAATTCTTAATATTGCATCGATTACATAGTTGCAAAAAGGCGGGGGGTGTTACGTAAAATTCAAGGTAAAAAAATCGGGTGCTCTCCTAAATGCACCCTATCATAAGCTCTACCCCGCATTAACCACCCATGGAGTGACTATTTCGGCGGGTGTTATATACGGAGGAATACGATATATAAGAAACCTAGGGTGATCCTGGACGTAGGATTGGAAGGTTCGGGAAAAGTATCGAAGAGCCTCGATGTGTCGAAACGAGGTCCGAGAAGGCCCAGTAGGCTCAAACTGGAAGGTGTGGAACCCTATCGCTGGTTCGGGACTTTTCGAGTCATACGCCCTGTAGCAAGCCTTACATACTTCCAGTATTACTTTCTACTCAAGTACTTGTGTCTGCAGATTCTATACTTAGTCTCCTACACCACTTTTCAATTTCTTACAGAAACAAGGGTGAACAACAGAGATACAGGGTTAGAGTTGTACCCTCTATGAACACACACCTTGTTGTGATATGATTCATAATTAGCATTTGTGTAAGTCAATTATCGGTAGATAGTGTCGAATCCTACCGTAGAAGAAGTCTGTAGGATGACGTCAACAAATAGCGCTCATCATGAGGACAGTCGTTTCAGTCACGCGAACAGTCGCGTCTCTTTAGTGTCATTTAGGGCGCATAGCGCGATATTGTCAAACAGGTACATTAGCGAACAGGTACTTCTGTTAGATATAAAAGTAGCTCGTCTTCATTATCTAGTTAACTTGTTCCACATTATTCTTCAGTGAATTCTTGTCATTACTCTACAAGTTCTAAGACTTCCACTGTCTTACTAGTCTACCATTCCAGTAAAGATCCTAGGCTAACACTTGAGGTTTTCCAAGTGTTTGTGTTTGCAGATTCTATACTTCGTCTCAACACCTGTAAAATTATTACATGGTATGAGAGCTGTCTGGAATTAAGACTACTGTCAACAATGACTGGAACGTCACCAGAAAAATCTACCGGATCTAGTTCCGGAACTACTGGAGTACCTGTCTCCTCGACTGCCACTGGTCTCTCAGCCTCTGGACCGATTCCACCGGCTTATGCGCACATCGGTATGCATCAGCAAAATCAGCCTTCCGTTAGTACTCCAGGGATTTCATCGACTGCACCTGCAGCGCAACAACATCAAACACAGGCAACAGCACAACATCAAACAACAGCACAACAACAGGCAACAGCGCAGCAGTTTTCAACGCAGTCAATATCGTCAGCATTTAGTGGAATGAGCCTTGACGGCTCAAGTTACATGCGTGGAGCTTCAGCTCCAAGTACTGGCTCATTTGCCTTCTCATCTTTTATACAGCAGCCGCAGTCGCAGCAGCAACAGCCCTTTTACATCTTCGGGCGATCACCTGCTCAGCAACAACAACAGCAACAGCAACAGCAACAGCAACATCAGCAACAACAGCAACAGCAGTAACAGCAGCAACATCCACAGCAACTTCAACAGCAACAGCAACAACTTCAACAACAGGGGATTGTTTTTCAACCACCAAATTTACTTAACAGCACACAGATCAAGACCAGTATACCTTTTAACGGAGTTGATTTTTACTCCTGGAGCTTCGAGTTTGAACTTCTGGCGCAGTCTGCCGGGCTATGGCCGTTCTTCATCGGCGAGTTCACGTATCCTATTATGGGAACACAACTGGAGCAGCAGAGTTTCTTGCACGCCTCTCTCGGGGCGTTTACGGTTCTTGTTCGAAACTTATCGGCAAAGGAGCAGCTCGGCGTTCGATCTTTTCATTCAAGCTTCACGCCAGCTGAAAGGGGGTGTACATGGCAAAGGATACCATAACAGTGAGTAAGATTCTTTCGTAGCTGACAAGTGTGCAGATGATGACAAACAAGGATGTCATGGATTACGTCAATCGCGTCTGCACACTACGAGATCAATTGGAGAAGTGTGGTGGATACTTCCCTCGTGAGATGTATCTCACGGTCCTTCTTGCTGCTCTTGGTCCCGAGTGGCGACAGACGTGCGCCTTCTTGCGCATGAACCCGAATCTCTCCGAAGCCGAGATTTCCTCGTATCTTCAAGCAGAACAACAAGATCTTGATCTGCAGTCACAACGCAATCAGAAGAAGGGGATACACTTAAGTTTTTACTCAAATCCAGAACCGCAGCAACGACTTCCCCCGAAATATCCATTCTGTCATTTCTGCAAGAAACCACGACACACTTACCAAACTTGTCGCAGTCAACATCAAAACCGTTGCAGCACTTCACAACCATAAAATCCTTCGCAGCAGTTACCGAAGTCACATCAGCCACCGCAGCAGCCGACGTCCCAGACGAAGCAGATGCCGAAACCACCGCAGAATACACCGCCGTCACAGCATCGTCCTCCGGTTTTTCCATCTGTAACATCAGGGAAAGGGGTTTTTGGATGTCTTCGCCGGCCTTGGTTTCAATCTTCTCTCCACAGCTCAGCTCCTGGAACACAAAATTCGCACACAAGGGAACTGTGATACAATGGATCAGGAGTTATGGCACAGTTTAACAAACACTTACCTCGGTCGCGCTGCTACTCAACATGGAGTATCCGTTCTTCAGTTCACGGCACAGGGCACCTCTGGTGATTCTGAACGCGTCCTTGCTCTTGGTCCGTAGGATCATCCTGACAAAACAGATTATCAACACGTGGATATTGATTTTCGGGCAATTACTGTACCAACGGCTCCTCGAACTGCAGTTGCCGTTCTTACCGCATTCGATACTTGGGAGTTCAATATAGCCGATGAAGGCGCCAACGCTTGGCGAACGTTTTATAACACTCGCGCGGCCTTCCAAGGAACTCCAGCTCCACTTTGGGGAGAAATCAGTGGACTTGCAGCTGATGAACCCGAAGTCATCGAGGAAGCCGCGAAATCAGAAGTCGCCGAGCAGCCGAGTCTCCCAGTAGCTATCGCAGGACCATCTGCCCACACATCAACAGAAGCAGTATCAGATATTGCAATCGCAACTGCAGCAGAACCTTCAAATATTCAGTTATCGCTTACCCGTTTTGTCGAAGGGGAGATTGACATGTCTCCAGCTCTTTCTCCTTTCATCATTTCTTCATTTTATACTAACTCCGATTCTTATCTGCGATCATTAGGACACAAAGCCACAGAAGAAATTTGGCACCAACGGTTAGGACATCCATCGCAAGGGATTTTAAATCATTCAATCCGAGCAGCGGTTCTTGATAAAAACAGCCTTCTCTTACCTGACGGCACGGAGATGAAACTGCAGTCTCGCCCAACGGTTTGCACCACGTGTCCGGTTGCCAATCTTACCCATGATCCATTTCCGAGTCATTTTCCTGGCTCCACTCATTACAAACTGATGCAGAAAGTCTACAGCGATATTCTAACTACCTGAAGCAGGACCTAAAGAAGAGCAGTACGTAATTACCTTCATCGAAGCATCTACTCGCTATGTCTGGACAGCCAACCTTCCTGCTCGATATCTTGCCCATTCAGTCTTCGTCGCATGGCTCGCTGTCGCTGAAAGCTGCAAGAATTCCAGAGTGATGGTGCAGGGGAGTACACGAGCAACGCTTTTACAGACTACCTCCAGACCCTTGGCATTAAATGGAAGTAGTCACTGCCACATGCACACCAACAGATGGGGGTAGGAGAACGGATGAATCGAACTCTGCAGGAGAAGATGCGTGCTCTGCTAACGCAGGCAGCCCTTCCTCCTCGCTTTTGGCCTTATGCGATGGACCACGCCATGCTGTTACACAACCTGCTGTCTTCCACGTCATTGCCCGAGATTTCTTCTCCTCACCTGCAGTGGACACGAACAGTCAGAAGTACCAAACTTTTACGAGTTTTTGGGTGTGTCGTGCAGTTTCGTCCTCCAACTGCAGCACTCGGCAAATTTTCAGAACGGGCAAAATGGGGGGTACACCTCGGCATCGAAAAACAGTATCACGCATGGAAGATTTTGGATCTTCGTTCAACCAAATCGTCTCTTCACGTGATTGTCTCTTCTATGAGCGACTCACCTTGCCAGTTTTTCGTGCCCACCAGGCAGCAGCTGCCACCCCGCCAGGCTGTTCGAAAGCTCACGTGCATTTGCAATCGACGAAGCCAAAGCTGATGTAGAGGACGAGGCAGTTTCTGAAGCCTCTGAAGTTGCCGCAACAGACATTCCCAAACCTGTCACGTCGACTGGCATCCCGGAATTTATTCCACTTTCTGATGTTGACCCGGATGTCGTTCGGGAAGTCCACCTCGGTTACGAACGTGATCGTCAACAGTAGCCGATGCCAACCATCTCCGACGAAGCAGTCCATGTTACACCTGACGAAATTGGGGGGGAAGAAGGGTCAGAATAAAATTTCGCAGGTGCAAACGGAGAACGTCTGCATTTTACAGAAACTGGCTTACAGATACTTGGATTTGCAGTCGCAGTATAGTACAACAACAGTAAAATACCTGAACCGAAAACAGTTCGACAACCCTCATGCATCTCCCTCTCCCCTGCCCTCATGCCTATCTGCCTCCCCTCTCCTCATGCCTCTCCCCCTCCCCATCACCTCCAACTATCCCCGCCTCTCACGCCCTCATGCCTCTTCCGCTCCTCTGCTCTCACCCCTACCCCCCTACCATGCACTGCACTCCATCTTTCCCTAATTCCCTGCGCTCACGCCTCTCCCCCTCCCCTGCCCTAACACCCTCTCCCCCTCTCGTGCCCTCGCACCTCTTCCCCTCCCCATCTCCTCCAGCCTGCACTCTCCCTTTCCCCAGTCCCCTGCTCGTACCCCTCTTTCCCTTCCCTTCTCTAACCTCTCACTCCCTCCGTGGCTCTCGTACCTCACTCCCTCCCTGCTCTCGTGCCTCACTCCCTCCTTGCTCTCATGCCTCACTCCCTCTCTGCTCTCATGCCTCACTCCCTCCCTGCTCTCACGCCTTCCCAATGCTCTCGTGCCCCTCTCCCTCCCCTCTCACCTCTCCCCTCGCTACTATCCGTCGTCTTCCCATC